CAAGTTCAGTCTCCCCCTGAAGATGAGTTTTTGAAAAATAGGAATTTTGTTCAGCAAAGGTAACATCAATAGAGACAAAGGTTTTTCTTGTGGGTGGATGATAACACTTATACCCTTTTTGAGTAGCTGAATAGCCAACAAAGATGCATTTGAGTGCTCTTGGATCTAATTTTCCTCGCTCCTGGCTGTGAATATGAACATAGGCTGTGCATCCAAAGATTTTGGGTGCAAGATTATGATGGGTTCGAAACTCTGGGTAAAAAGAGGACAAGGTCTCCATTGGAGTTTTTAGGCCTAAGGTTGTTGAAGGTAATCGGTTTATGAGATACGCTGCAGTTAAAAGAGCTTCCCCCTAATAGAATTTGGGTGTATTGTAGTGCAATAGGAAAGCTCGGGTGGAGGCTAGAAGGTGACCATTTTTCCTCTCTGCAACCCCATTTTGTTGTGGGGTGTAAACACAGGAGGACTCATGGATGATCCCTTCACTCTAGAAATAGGAGGAAAGGGTTTGGTTGAAATAATATTTGGCATTATCGGAGCGGAAACTCCTTATTTTTATCCCGAATTGATTTTTGATCATGGAATGAAAGATGGGAATAATGGTGCTTGTAAAACCCCTCCGAAGCTGATTTTTTTTAGTGCTGTTCGTCCGAACAAACTGACTTTAGTCCCGGACGAACTGAAGAAAATTGTGAAGAATCTGTCAATTTCGTCTGGACGATCCTGTAAGGGTCGGGACGAACCGTCGGGACGAACCGAACAGAGAGCATCGTCAAGGGACGAAACAAATTGGAATTAATTTTCGTGTGTATGATCCGTGTCAAGAGGAGTTCGTCCCAGGACGATATGGGCATCGTCCTGGACGATCCTGCTTGATAAATTGAGGATTTGAGATATTTTGAGATATTTTTGAAGAGAGAGAAAAAGGCAGGAGAGAGAAAGAGAAGGAAAGAGAAGAAGAAGCTTGATTTCGAAAGCCGCGGAGCGCTTTTCGTCTGACGACGCAGTTGGAAGATTTGTTTGTCTCGCAGTAAGGACTCCGAATCCTATTTCTGATTTTGAAGATTTCGAATTTTGATATTTCTGTGCTCAGTTTTGTGTTTCTGTTACTGAAAAATGCACATAATTTTGTATTGACGAAAGTTTTACCGCACAACTTTTGATATGTTTCTGATATGATATTTCTGCACAATTTGTGTATTTTCTGTAAAGTTTCTACCGATTATTTTGAGTTATGTGCTATTTTTATCGAATATAAAATTATCTGGTTATTGAAAAATGTTGCTTTAGTACAAGTAAAGCTTTGTAAAGTTGTTTTATTCGATTTCTGGTAATTTGGTAAATTTCCGAATTTGTGATTTCTATGTACATTTCGTGTACTGCCGTTATGCCGCCGATTTCCCGTACGACTTCTGATTTTCTGAATTGATGATTTGAATGATTGAATATGCATACGAATGTGAAAATATGATTGAATCTATTACTTTTATACTACTGAAAAATAAGTGAAGACTGGTTGAACCATTGGTTGGAGATTGACTTGACCTGTACATGATGGTGGGCCGACGGGCTTTCCTTTAAAAAGGATTTGGTGTTATCCTCTATTGATCATTGATATAACGATTGAGAGTCATAAAGAGATTATTATGCCGACGGGCGGCCGACGGGCAAAGAGTGACGACTCTATTATCGAGCCAACGGATATATGGATATTTCTACAACAGCACAATGGATATACAACGATACATCGACTTGAAAAACGCCTTAATAGCCAGTGATTGTACTTGTTCAGTAAGACTACTGTATTGAATTGCATGTGTACGGTATTGACCTATTGATCTCATTATGGATTCATGGATTTATTGATATTGTCGGATTTGTATTGAAATTTATTTATTAACGGATTTACTGTTACTGTACAATTTCATTGATATTCGCATTATTTCACTGAGCATTGATACTGATACTGATATGGATATTTGATGCATAAAAAGGAATTCTATTATTAGGGTTCCTACTAGTACTTCTCCCTCTGGGCAGAGAGGGAGGTGGGTAAATGATAGGCTTGGGATTTGAGTTGGAAGGGCATAAAGAGAAAGGATGAATAAACGACCCACAACCTTCACAGGGGAAAGGTTTCCAATCATAAACAACATTGAGCATCAAATCCTCCCCATCAATCTGAATCGAAATTTTTTTCGGAAGAACAAAATCCTTGGAAATTTGGACACATACCCGGGTGAAGGTAAGACGAGTTCTTTTGGCGGTAAGGGAGTTAATAGTTAAAGGAATTCCAATGTAACTGGCAATCCTAGAGATTTCGGTCGGAGTCCATAAAGCCAACGGAAGGTCAATGATTTTCACCCAATGGGGAATGGGGCTGATTCATCCCAGACCGGCTTAAACTTTGGAGACCACCATTGCAAGATGAAAGGTTTTCCCAAAAGGAATCAGGGACCACCCGTCCAAATCATCTCTAAATCTTCTGAAGACATAAACTTCAACAAGAAATAATCATCCGCAAGAGAAAGTAGAGAAAGCGAACCTTTAAGATTCCAAAGTTTTTTCATAGTAGCAAGTAGTCGTTCATAGTAAGGTCGTTGACCTATTGAGTAGCCCATAAGAGAAAGTGCCCAATGAGAGGTACCTTCCATTAGATCATCGGCCAAAAAGGAGAGCTTCTGGCTCGAAGAGACATAAGACATTGGAAAGTCTTGAGGTTTTGAAGCAGGAGCCGACAAATTATCGGCATAAAAGGGTTAATCTCCATCAGGGGAGGTGGGGACCCTCCCTGACGGGGGGAGCGAAGAAGAGAACAACGGCGGGAGAAAAAGTGCCATAGCAGAGCGGCTTCTATTACTTCTCTTTTTGTAAGTAGTGCTTCTTACCTCCTCGAGGGCTATTATGGTCGTGTTGGAGCTTTAATTTTGGATTGGTCTATTTTGCTGAGTATTTAGACGATGTAATCTTATTTCTAGAAAAGGGTTAATTCATTGCTTGACCTAAATATGGATAAAATTGAATTATCATCATTATTGATTTTAATCTTCACAAATAAATAAATAAATAAAACAATGAGATTTCTGTTTTGAATTGATTCAAATATTTAAATGTTTATATTTTTATGGTGATATAATTTGGCAGCTTAACATCATCACAACTCTTTAAACTCAACAAAAATAACTAAATTTATTTAAGATATATCAAACAATTTTAGTGGAACATGATAACCATAACTTCACTAAAGAATTGAAAAATGAGTAGCTTATGCTTATATGCTATTTTTTAATTATCTTATGAGATAATACTTGTTTTATCAAAACCAAAATGCATATATTAATCATTTGTTTAAACTAAAAAAACATGATCTTATATTGGGTTTAGTTACATATTAGGGTTGACTTGAGATGATTAAATATCAGGACGAGCATGCTTATTCTTTTATTTTAGATAATGAAAGTTTTTTAACTGGTCAAAATTTAGATGAAAATATTTTTTTAAAAGATTTACTTGTTTTTATTCAACCACATTGCCTAATCAAAACTAAGAATTTGAGCTATCTTTTAACCTAACCACCCGCCTAAAGCTTTGTGCAACCTTATGAAAGCTTATGAAAATCATAAGTATCCTCTTGAGTTCTGAATGTTCAAGGCATATTTGTTATATCAACTAATTCTGATAATTATATATGGTTTTTAAAATAAACCAATAATTGTTCAATTTTTTAAATGTAATTTGAAATAAATTCAAGTTGTTTTGAAGTTAACTTTTTTTTTTTTTTTTTTTTAATTTTTGAAGTGAACTTGATATATGATAGGAATATATCCCTATTATATATAAAGCAATGGGTAAATTTGAATTCACAGCCCTCATAATAGGGATATTCATAGCAATATACCTTTATATTTTTATTTGGCTAAATATCACCTAATTTAAGATCACATAAATTTTGCTTATAATGAAAACAAATTTTTTATTCAAATCTTCTTGACACACAATGTAACATTTCCTATCATTGACATTGCTGATTTTTTTATTGTTTTAAGATATTTTTTCTTAGAGCATCATAAAAAAGATGACGAAGCTATGGTTGAACGAAGTGGCTTAATAAGGCGTCAAGTAGCTATGAGTTAATATTTTAACGTTAAATAATGTTATGGCATATGATTAAAGTGATTTATTAATAAATGATAAAAATCACATTTTATAATGAGGAAGAAAATCTTTTAAAATTGTGTTCAATTTGGCAGATCTTGAATGCACAATAAAATAAAGCCTTTTAATAAGGTTTGAACAAAGTTTGATCAACCATGAAAAAAGATTTGAAACTTATTTGATTAGATTGGAATTTGATTTGAACAAGGTTCAAATAGGTTCCAATCATATTTGAATTATTTTTTTTATTGTTGCTTAAAAATGATCCAAACATTGTTCGAAAATGTTTGAACATGACATGAATTAAATTTTGATTTGAATAAGTGTTTGACCTTTATTTGAACATAATTTAAATCTTAATCTTTATTTTTATAGAAATTTTTCTCGTAGTGGATTGAATTATAGAAATAAGACAACAAAGTTGGTTGGACTTTTAATGGACAATTTAATAGTTGTAATGATCCCAATGAGTATTATCCTAGTGGTACTTATTTATCTTCTATACATGGTAATAGAAAAGAATATGAATCAATGAAGCTTGAAGTTAGAGGTGATGTATTATTTTAGTGAAGCACTGTCCACCATATTAATTCCTTTGAAAGAAATAACAATGTAAGATAATCTTGCATTCTTCATCATGTAGCTACAACATGTCATTGAGATGTTTTTCGACATAGTAGACACAGATGATGAAGAATGGAATATTATCTTACATTACTATTTCAAACATAGGAGTTTGATGGTGGTGCTTGGACAAGTCTAAATTGAAGTCAATTAAAATCCTCAACATAAGCTATGTTTGCTTTAGCATATCAAAGAAATTTGTACATGCATGCTGCCACACAAAACAAAAGCAAACCAATCTGATTCATTCTCTCAAGCCATATTAACAGAAATGTTGGTCATTGATTCCAATATCAAACAGGCAATCGTGAAAATTTTCTCCACTAAAATGTCAAATACAAGAAAATATGCCGTGTGCCAGTAGCAATATTGAGAGAACTAAGATTGATGAATTCTGTCCCTCTCTGAACTCAATTGAATGGAAGTTGCAGGTGAAAATAATCCCTAATCAAGAGAAATGCGTCTTATTTTGCATACAAGGTGTGCTGTGGGGAGATCAAGTTGATTTGAACTATCAGGTTTAAGTAGATTTCGGATTTCATCCCTCGAAGTTGAGACAAAAGTGTGAAATGTAGAAAGAAATGGTGGAATCGGCATTGAGAGGGCAGAAAGCACATTGCTAAGGTACTCAATGTCAGCTGATAACTGCTGCGCCCCACGCTCTGTGATGTAATGGATTCCTCGCAGCTGTTCCATGAAGAGAGCAGTGGCACCCTCTGCAACCTATACACAATCACAACAAAAGATAAAATCAGCAAATAAACTTGATTTAATTGGCGAAGAAAAATGATTATGTTATCTGTCTTTTGACAAAAATTCTAAAGCTAGAGGGCTATTCTCATATTCTCTAAGAAAGGATTCTGCTAGCAGAGAAAGAATTCTATTAGCGGACATAAGGAATTATGTTGTTTATTTGTATATATTGGAAGTTGGAGCCTGAAGGTTGTTCTAATATTTATTTATATTTCAATTAGTTTCAGTACAATTTCAATAGTAATTTAAATATTTATTAAAAAATTCAGTATCCATATCTATTTCAATTTCAATTTTTCGTACATGACATCATAGATTTTACTCAGTAGGTCGAGAGGGCCAAAAGGACAGAGGTTGATCTGATAGTAGTTCAACGGTGATGAACTGTGCTCAAGAAGAGAATTTACAATGAGATAGATAACAGTAGTCATTCTGAGAAGAAGAACAAGTTTGAACTAGCTGAGTTTAGAAGAAGGGGATAGCCAATAACAGTTTCTTTTGGATCGAATAGAGGTAGTGTTGCCAGTTTTGGAGGTTCAGTCGATGGGGCATCGTTATGCCAACATTATGGAAGGAGACACAATGGTCAATGTTATAGAGCATTGGGTTAGTGTTTTTACAGTAAACAATATTGATGTATGATTGCTGTGTCCATAAGGTGGCTCTTATAAATGCTTTGATTGGAGCACTGACAATTCTGGGCAGCCGATAGTAGGGAGGCATAAGACAGTACCATCCCAATCATATTCTGAAGTTTCCGATGATAGGAGTGATGGACCATCAACAGGTCAGTATTATGGAAATTTGTGATGTGTAGAGAGTTTTGTTGCTTTGACTCCAATAAAACCATGAGTTTACAGTCTGATGCAGCAAAATGTCAGTGAGTTTTCAAATGTTGTGAAATGTATATTTCATATTTCTACATCTCCTTATCGTATTTTATTCGATTCTCGTACTAGACATTCTTTTACATTAGAGATATATTTTGATTCTCTCAGTTTGCTACTATTACCTAATTTTTTGTATGTAGTTTTGCCTACGGGATATAGAATGGTATCTAGTAGGATTTATTTTTATGCTTTGGAGTTTTTTAAGAGAGTTTAGAGATCTAGTTTGATTTATTGCTTATTTTTGTATTCATTGTTATTATGGGTATGCACTTAATAAGTCGGTATGAGGCTCAGATTGATTACCTGAAAAAAGTGACATTATATTAGAATGGTGAGAGCTTTGTATTTCAGGGAATTAGAGGTATTCTCTATTATCTAATTTCTAATCTAAAAGTGAATAGACTTTGGAGGAAATGTTGTCCAGTATTTTTAGCACTGTTAGAGATGTGAGGATTTCTTCTGCATTTATGAGTAATATCCTTGTAGTTCAGGAGTTTCCTAATCTCTTCCCTGAGAAGTTAGTGACTTTACCGCCGCACAGAGAGAGAGAGAGAGAGAGAGAGAGAGAGAGAGTTTTATACAGATATTTTTCAGGTACATCTCCGATCTCTAAGGCCCCATATCGGATGTAACTTAAGAAACTTTAAGAGTTGAAGGTGCAAACTTCATGAGTTGGTGTATAGAGGTTTTATCTGTTCCAGTGTGTCTCCTGGGGAGCACCTGCATGGGAAGCACTTGTATTATTTGTAAAGAAAAAGGGTGATAACTTACGGATGTGTATCAAGTATAGAGATCTGAACAAGGTAACTATAAAAAATAAGTATCTCTTACCTAGGATTGATCACATATTTGATCAATTAGTTGGATGTTTAGTATTTTTTAAGATTGATATGTGATTTAGTTATCATCAACTAAAAGTCAAAAAGGATGTGGGGAAGACTGCATTTAGCATGAGGTACGACCATTATAAGTTTTTAGTCATGTCGTTTGGGATAACTAATGCCCTAGCGGTCTTCATGGCTTTAATGAATAGGATTTTCAATAAGAATCTGCACCAGTTTGTGATAATTTTTATAGATGATATTATGATTTATTCCAAATCTTAGGATAAGCATGCAACATACTTAAGGACTGCTCTAAAAATTCTGAGGTAGCATCAGTTATATGCTAAAGTTCTCAAAATGCAAGTTCTGATTAACTAGCACTTCATTTTTTGGGAGCGTAGTGAGTAGTGCACGCATTTAAGTCGATCTCCAGAAGGTTCAAACTATTTCTGATTGGCTAAGGCTTACAACAGTTCAAAAGTTCATAGTTTTTTATGCTTGGCTGATTACTATCAGAAGTTTGTTAAGGGGTTTTCTTGGATTTTTGTGCTATTGATGAGACTGACTCAGAAGTCAGTAGCTTTTGTATGGATTATGGACTATGAGGGCATTGCTTATACGGAGTTAGATGCGAGATCTTCACTGATCATCAGAATTTGAAGTATATATTCACTAAAAAAAAATTGAATTTGAGACAAAGAAGATGACTAGAGTTGATCAAAGATTATGATCTGTCTATTTAGTATCAGACTGGTAAAGCGAATGTAGTGTCAAACACTTTGAGTTGGAAGTCTTTAAGTACTTCTCTTTCATTGCTCACTATTGTAGACTTTTTTATTCGAGATTTAGAAAAGCTGGAGATAGAGTTGATATCCGCTGATACATATTCCAATTAAACCAACTCTTCAAGAAAGAATTCATGTAGCTCAAAAGTCAATACAAAGTATCTAAAATTAAGTGGTCAGATTAAGTTTGGTAAGAGACCTCAACTTTCTCTATTTGATCATAATATCATTTTCTACAAATATTGATTATGTATTCCTTTCATTAGTGGTATGGGAGCTGAAATTTTATATGAGACACACTATTCATCAAGGAAGTAATAAGATATATGCAGATTTGAAAAGTATGTTTCTAATTGTCTGGCTTCAGAAAGGACGTAGCAGAGTCTATTTCAAAGTGTGAGATATGTCAGTTAGTAAAGGCAGAACATTAGCGACCGATTTAGAGACTGGAGGAGATTTTAATATTGTGTTTTGAATTTTGAGGATAGTTGAAAGGATCATATCCCGCTGATAGAATTTACTTATAACAACAATTATTAGCCCAACATAAGTATGACTTCTTATGAAAATCTGTACGGTATAAAGTGCAGGATCCCTCTGTCTTTGACAGAGGTGGGTGTTAGGCATATGATAGGGTCAACTTTTATAGATGACACTACAATAAAGATTCGTCTGATAAGAGAAACATTAAAGTCTGCATCGAATAGGCAGAAGAAATATTGAGAGGCACAAAATCGTTGAGTTTCAAGTTGGTGATTTTATTTATATCAAAGTCAACCCTATGAAATGTGTTAGCAGATATGAAAGAATCTGAGCTATAGGTACATTGGACTTTTAAGGTTACTGAGAAGATTGGTGGCCCAACGTATAGGTTATTATTACCTAACCATATGTCAGATACATGGTGTATTTCATGTATCTTCTTTGAGGAAGTAAGTATCTGATTTTGGAAAAAAATTTCTACTAATGATGCTGAGATTCATTCGAATCTGCACTATAAGGAAGAGCCCAATAGAAGTCTAGCATATGATATCAGGAAATTGAGAAGCAACCAGATTCTGATGCTCAAGGAGCAGTGGAAGCAGGCTACTTGGGAGAAGGAATCTGAGATGATATAATTATATCTAAATTTATTCTGATTTGTTTTGACTTGGAAATATCGAAGATGATATTTTTCTAAGAATAGGAGAGTTATAGTACATCCAAATTCAATATTTAGTTCAACCTATTATGACCCAACTCGAAAGAGGTAATTTATTGAATAAACTATTTTTTATATGTTTGAAAATAATTTGTATGAAAAATGTTTGAATGTGTTCTAGAGTGGCATATAGGGTTCAAATGCATATTGGTGAAATCTAATTTTTTTTTTCATTTAGAGCTCCTAGGTGTTGTGTTGTCTATCACCCTAGCGTTGGTCCTAGCACCTCGGCATTGGAATAGTGGCATCCCGACATTGTGGGCTCGGGAAAATAAAAAATGAACTAGTGCCTCAACACTAAGCCAAATTTCGCACTTAAAAATATCCAAGTCCACTATTCATTCCATTATGTTCCATTAGAGTAGTACCTAGAGAGAGAGAGAGAGAGATTCCAAGTGAGGGAGAGTTTCAAGCAGCTTATGATCGTTTTTAACTGTCAACCCAATTAAAAAAGTTGCTTGGATCGAGTTAAATTACATTTTACCTATCTCAATATTCAATAATTCGGTGGGTTTGAAATATTTTCAATCAAATTTATAATTTGATTTTACAAAAATACAATTTTATCAGATCATGATAACTTTTATCCTTTTAACTTTCAATATGTTATCGACACAACTGTTCTGATCGTTTTGAGTATTTATTTGAAATTTTTCGCCACATGATTCTAAAAAACAACATTTTTTATCAATTTAAAATTTTGCTTTGACATCTAAAAATAATGCTTTAGTGTTAATTAAAGCTTCAGAATGTTGTTATATAAGATTTTAGTAATTTGAATAGTTTCTGAAAATATGAATTATGCTTAACAAGATTTTTTTGTTGACCATTAAGGCATTTTGGTAAGTTCTAAATTTAGTTCAATTATACTTTATTTAATATAATGCATTGAAATATGTATATATTGATTGAAATGTGAAATTATGTTGGCAGAGAGAAGCGATTTTGTTATATATTATGATAAAAACTCTAAAGCCTTAGAGCAATTCTGATATTCCCTAAGAAGGGATTCTATTAGTGGAGAGAAGGGATTCTATTAGTGGAGAGAAGGGATTCTATTAACAAAGAGAAAGTATTTTATTGTTTATTTGTATATGCTAGAAGTTGGAGTTTAAAGGCTATTATGATATTTACTATAAGATATTTGTTTATATTTCAATTAGTTTCCACAATTTTAGTGTTATTTAAATGCATATTAAAAAATTCAGTATCAGTATTTGTTTCAATTTCATCTTTCCCTACAATACTTAGATTTATTATTATAGCACAA